TATATATATATATATATATATATATATATATATATATATATATATATATATATATATATAATGATTGTTCTGCTCCGTGGCATTAGACAATATTAGGACATGTGTCTTCAAAGTAGAAATGAATAGACAAGACAGTCAAACGAAGCCATCTTGCCGAAACGTTATTTTCATTGTCCTATATTTCAATGAAACACTTAACATAAATGTCTCTACTGTTTCCTTCAGATGGCTTGAAAAAAGTCCCTCTTATATTTTCTCTTTCTCTTTCTGTACCCGCAAACAATGGAATTCTCTTCCACTACACATCCACAATATACCGACCATCACAGCGTCCAAAACTGCACCCAAAACACATCTCTTTAATCTGTACTATCCTGACTGATTCCCACCTCGGACCGAAAACCGATGGTACTGATTGTTATCCATGGCATGAGATGTAAATAGTTTTACATATACATTTGTAATGTAATTTGTTTTGTAATTAATGTATGTTAATTAATTTTTAAAGTTTTTTTTGTTTGTTTGTTAAATTATATTTACAGCGTGGTGAGCCCAGCCCTAGGCTAGGGCACCACTATAAATAAAACTACTTTATATAAATATAAGAATAACATTTTCCATTTATGACACAAGATAAATTTATAATAGTTGAAATATTTGAAAAATGCAAAATTATGTCAGTGTCTTCTTTTCAAAGGATCGTTGTTTGTTTCTGGTGCCTTACATGTGTCCAAGATTCTTCACAGTCATGGGCGCCCGCAGGTAGGGGCAAGGGGGGTAGACTACTTGCCCCCCCCCCCTGGATTGATTGGATAAAAAATTTTTAGAAAAAAATAGACAAAAAATGTATTAAAGTAAAGAAAAAATAAAGAGAAAGTAACTAAGCTGATGTCCTGTCCGTTCGTTCACCATACAAATACACTACAGTAAATTAAAACTATATTAAAACATTACTAAAAAATGTTTGCTCCCCCCCTGGAAAGTTAATCGATTTTTTTTGCCCCCCCCCCTAGAAAGTTTTCTGCGGGCGCCCATGTCCGTTCGTTCACCATACAAATACACTACAGTAAATTAAAACTATATTAAAACATTACTAAAAAATGTTTGCCCCCCCCCTGGAAAGTTAATCGATTTTTTTTGCCCCCCCCCCTAGAAAGTTTTCTGCGGGCGCCCATGTTCACAGTATAAAAATGTGATACCTCGCTCACAAGATTATTTAAAAATGCATCCAATGGCGTTTGGATTTAACATTTCTCCACGTATCCATCAATCCATCCAATCTGTGAAATGTCTTTGTTTCAAGAAACTACATCCATCCAATCTGTGAAATGTCTTTGTTTCAAGAAACTGCATCTATCCAATCTGTGAAATATCTTTGTTTCAAGAAACTGCATCTATCCAATCTGTGAAATATCTTTGTTTCAAGAAACTACATCCATCCAATCTGTGAAATGTCTTTGTCTCAAGAAACTATCTCTACCCAATCTGCGAAATGTCTTTGTCTCAAGAAACTATGTCTTCCCAATCCGTGAAATGTCTTTGTCTCAAGAAACTGTCTCTATCCAATCTGTGAAATGTCCTTGTCTCAAGAAACTGTCTCTATCCCATCTGTGAAATGTCTTTGTCTCAAGAAACTGGAAGCGTTATTTTATTCATATGGTGCATAAACTGTTTCCTGAACTTAGTGTTGTACTTGTAATAGATGCTGATGCTGATGCTGGAGTTGAATGCCTGGAAGATCTCCATGATGCAAATCACGGCCAGGTACAAGTTCTGATAACTCTTCCCCAGCGTGAACTCCGGGACGAACATGGCGGTGACGTCGATGAGAATCTTGGGCGTGTTGCAGACGATGTACACGACGGAGATGAGGACCACTTGCTGGATCACCGACGTGTCCTTAGAGGACAGCTTGCCGGGTTGGCCGCCCACTTGACCGGAAGCCTCAGCGTGGCGGGTGCTCGTCAAATTGTTTCGTGGGTTCTGCGTTGTGGAGTTAGGTCTTTGCTTCCGCTCTGTGGAAATATGTCTTTGATTATTTTGCTCTGTGGAATTAGGTCTTTGATTCTGCGTTGTGGAGTTAGGTCTTTGATTCTGCTCTGTGGAATTAGGTCTTTGATTCTGCTCTGTGGAATTAGGTCTTTGATTCTGCTCTGTGGAATTAGGTCTTTGATTCTGCTCTGTGGAATTAGGTCTTTGATTCTGCTCTGTCGAATTAGGTCTTTGATTCTGCTCTGTGGAGTTAGGTCTTTGATTCTGCTCTGTGGAATTTGGTCTTTGATTCTGGTGGCGTGAATGTTTCCCAAACGGGTCGTCACAGATGGTGTATATCTCTACGGCAGTTGAAATTCGATGCCGCTGTCCGGGTTGTTCCCGGGGGTGCGCCAGTGACGTCACGACAAGGGAGCCGTTGCGGAACCTGGACGCCGCCTTGAGACTCCTGGTTAAGATGACGACGCAGACGATGACGACGATCTGGGTGACGAACGTGACGAAAACGTCCCGGGACACCCACACGGCCTGTTTGACCTCGTCCCTCTTTGGCGAGATCCACAGCACGTACCTCGTGCAGTTGACCCTGGGGTCGAACTCGACGGCCATCTTCATGTAGACCAGTATGGGCAGGTAGCTCGCCACGGCGATCAGCGAAAACGCCACCAGCGTCGCCACGGAGGTCCTCCTGGTGAACGACTTTTTGAACTTCAGCGGCATCGCCACGCACAAGCACCGGACGATGGCGAGAAACGTGGTAATGAGAACCGTGATTAAGTAAAACATGATCCCCAGGTTGGTGGCGAAGATATACACGCCGAACGGCTCGATGGAGAAGAAGACTTTGTAGTCGGTCTTCTTCTCGGCGACGAACATCCCGAGCGCCACCGCGTGCGCCGCCATCGTCAGGAGGTAGACGAAGTCCGAGACGGCGAGGAACACGAACGACAGCGTCACGCCGTCCTTGAGCCCCATGGACAGAAACGTCCGGATGACCATCACGTTGCCGAAGCCCCCGACGGCGCACATCAGAGTGCACGCCACGCTGAACATTTCAGTGAACCACACGAAGATCTCGTCCGAGACGAGTCTTTGAAGTTGCACAGCCTGGACGGAAGTGCTCTGGTACTCAACGCTGGCGTTCATTGTTGTGGGCGAGGAGCCACGGAGTCTCGGAAATGAAATAATTATTATCCGACGTCGGTCCTAAACTGGTTCAGCTCTGGTTTCCCCAGCTCACCGGGTGAGAAACTTATGTCACGTGAGAAAGCTTTTTTTCCCAAGGCTGAAACTGCGCTCCCTGGCGGTCACAAAATAATGTTCAGTAATGATTTAATGTGGACATTCGTTTATTTTCAAACATCTTTAAAAAAAAATTCCGTTGTTACATTAAAAAAAAAAAATTAGTTTGACCAATTTGCGCAATTATTTTTAAACACAAAAACAGATATCTTGTTTTTTTCGGCCGATTCAAATCGTTTTATTTGTTTTTCTGGATAAACTCGTTGATACGAGTGCTTTAAAAAAATTATATCTTAGGATATCGCTATTGAATACCTCTTTTATTTTATGTACTGAAATTTAAAACAAAAAAATCTCTTCATTGACATTAGTAAAATTGATCCATGGCGCCCTCGTCTCTTGAACCAGATTTTCTATTTAAATAAATAATAAAAATATTTTGCATAAACTGAGAAGCAATTTGCGATAGAGAGTTTTTTAAAGACCAAACCTTTATTTTTTCCCCGAGGGTCTCTTATTAGCCAATCAGGGAGAACCGTTCGAATGAAATCCATTTAATAAGCAACATTAAAAAAACCTAAGTAAATAATAAATTAAAGGAGCACTCCCGAAGGTCACCAATTAAAGATTCGATTACTAAATGCTTTGGAATCGATCCTGAAATTAGATATTTTTTTACTTTAATGGAATGAAAGATATGTTGATCGCCCTGTTGATTGCCCCGATGATTGCCCCGTTGATTGCCCCCCTGTCTCACCGTAAAATGCTGTCCTCTGAGGCTCTTGACACAAAAATCAAATCCGCTTAATTATTGGATAATTGGCCCTTTTCATAACGTGCTGGCAAATAGTACTAACCTTGTTGATATCGCTTGCTAGCTGAGGTTTTAAATACACGCATACACGCCATTAATTTGCCGATGTGTACCGATACAAACAAACACAACACACCACAGACAATTATTGTTGTTAAGCTTGTTCGCGGACTGTGTTGAAACTTCATTTTAGTCTGTGTAAACTTACCTTACCCTGGTAATACTAATTTTTTTGATGAATTTAAAAAAAAAATAATTTAATTTCTTTTAAAAAATATTTCAAGGCTGACATGACATGACATGACTTAACAGACGCAGGAATACAACTTGATTGTAAATTGCTGGGGATGTTTAAAAGAAGAGGAAGCACGAGCCCCAAATACAAAAATAAATTCCATCAGACTTAGCAAAGGTTAAAGGTTGTTACGTTGAGGGGAGACCAAGAGAAACTTTGGTGCTGAGATTATTCTGAATTACTTGAAGCTAAACTTCAACAAAATTTTGGTGTTTAGGTAACATACATTATTTTTCCAAATATGGACAAGAGTGGAATATTTGATAATCAACTTTTAAAATATCATTTTGCCACGGAAATGTGAATAGTAAATTTTTTAAGGAAACAGTTCAGAATTTTTTATATATATATTTTTTTAACATAAAAGAATAATTTGTTTTTAAAGAGTGAAAATTTGATATTTTACAATTTGGTCATTTACAAATTGATTCATTGTTTCAAATTTATTATTTCACAAGTTTGTTTCCTCATTTTTCTGAGCTCAGTTGATTTCTAGTTTTTAATATTGCGAGCGACAATATTTCAAGATCAACGCTGAGCGGGGGAGGGGGGGGACGACAGAAAAACACTTAATCGATAATAATCTAATAAAAAAAAACCTGGAGTTCATTGGACTGAATCCCCATTTCAGAGACGGGAAATGTATTTAAATTAAACAAGTGTTTAATTTTTTTAAATTTTATTTTCTCTTCACTGGAATTAAGTGAAAGAAAGGGGGGTAATTGGGCAAGTGATCCTGTCTAGCTCCATGTACAATCGAACAAAGCCAACCATCCATTAAGTACACGATAAATGGAGACCTCCACCATGCCGCCTGATGCAGTCGCCTAACATTTACATGTAACCCTGCGGCAGCGAGTTCGCAAACTGACTCGCATTGCGTTAATTTGGCGTAACCTTACGTCCTCTTTTTCTCTCCAGTGTCACATGCGTTAATTTGGTATAACCTAACGTCCTGTCTGGCCTCCAGTGTCACATGCGTTAATTTGGTGTAACCATACGTCCTGTCTGGCCTCCAGTGTCACATGCGTTAATTTGGTGTAACCGCACGTCTTTTCTGCCCTCCAGTGTTACAACCGTTAATTTGGCGTAACCGCACGTCTTGTCTGCCCTCCAGTGTTACAACCGTTAATTTGGCGTATCCTTACGTCCTGATATTTCATTTCATTGGACGATAAAAAAAAATGTGGAGATTTGATTATGGTGATTTCGTGTGTGACATAAGATTGAACAAGGAAGCGATTGTCAGAGACAGCTGAAGAAAGATTCCATTCGTGTGCTTAGAATCAGCCAACTTGAACATTATAACGCTGAGCGTCTTTTTCAGTCGACCCTAGGTAACAATGCCCGGCCAAAAGCCTAAAATGGTTATAAGAGTATATCTATTAGTGACTGGCTACCTTAAGATACAGTGGCGTAGTGGTGGGGGCAGGGGGGGCAGATGTCCCCAGGCGCCAGCTAGTTAGGGGCGCCAAAATGTGCTTTGATATTATTTTATTTATGAAAATAATGGGTTTGAGAGTTGAAAAAAAGAAAAAAGGGGCGCTAAAAATGGATCTTGTTCCCGGGCACGAATCTTGTCCCGGGCTCCTAACACCCTCGCTACGCCACTGTTAAGAGGTCAGATAAATTTTAAAGCGTCTGATTCTCATTTTTCTATTGTTGGCAAAAATTAACGAAGCTTTCATTTTGCAATTTTTTCCCCATATCTTTTAATAAAATTCAAATTAAATTGTTACATTTGACAGTTGTTGCAGGGGTGCTGTAAATAAAACTTCAATATTTACTGTGGTTATAAGTAAATTTCGAGCAAATTTAACACTAATTTTGACGTCCACCATGTGAAATGAAACTGGACAGTGTATTGGTGGCAGGGTGATGGTGGTAGTGTCTTGGTGGCAGGGTGATGGTGGTAGTGTCTTGGTGGCAGTGTGTTTTCTGTAAATATGTTAAAGGATTGTATTAAGTCTCCTTGCTATGAACAAACACATGTCACGCCAGTAAGTTAAGAGAGATTCTTTAGGCCAGTAAGTTAAGAGAGATTCTTTAGGCCAGTAAGTTAAGAGAGATTCTTTAGGCCAGTAAGTTAAGAGAGAGATTCTTTAGGCCAGTAAGTTAAGAGAGATTCTTTAGGCCAGTAAGTTAAGAGAGATTCTTTAGGCCAGAAGTTAAGAGAGATTATTTAGGCCAGTAAGTTAAGAGAGATTCTTTAGGCCAGTAAGTTAAGAGAGATTCTTTAGGCCAGTAAGTTAAGAGAGATTCTTTAGGCCAGTAAGCTAAGAGAGATTCTTTAGGCCAGTAAGTTAAGAGAGATTCGTTAGGCCAGTAAGTTAAGAGGGATTTGAAAAAACAAAAACAATGAATACTTCGGCCAGCGTTAGTTTCCAAGCAAGCTTGAAATTTGACATGATAATCATTGACATGTGACATGATAGTCATTGACATATCACATGACTGCCATTGACATATGGCATGAAGTTAAAAGAATTAGCACTTGCGCGTGATTTTTTAAACATTTAAAGAATAGGCGCTCTTATGTCACATTTAATGTCCTTATTGAAACAGTAGCTCAAACTTTAAAAACACTCATTACAAAAGAAACATCTTTAAAAAGTAAATCACTACTTCCCCTTGTCACTGTTTCAGCCAGCTACCACAAATAAATCCATTCGGATCCCTATTTGGAGGTCACCTCCCGACTCCCATGGGATGGGAACCGCTGCTCAAGTAACTTGAAACCCATGTTTCTATAATATATATGGATACGTCGTGCAAGGTGGATAAATCTGACTACGTGGATATGTCAGACTAGGCGGATAAATCTGACAAGATGGATATGTCTTACTAGGTGGATAGGTCTGACTAGGTTAATTCTGTAAGTAAAAAAACCACAAAGTTCATAATATAAATTATAAAGGTGGCTTATCACATATTGCTTGGAGTAATCTAGTCGATAGGGCAGAGGTTCCCAAACCATGGGCCGTGACCCTTTTCTTTTTCTTTTTTAATCGATGTCTTAGTTTCAGTTGGAAAAAAACAAAAACATAGCACTGAATATCTCGACTTAATCAAAATTATATTACACGAAAATTCAAGTTTTGATGGGTTCCCATTTCCAAAATATACTTCAAAAAAATTATTCGAGACATTGAGAAAATTTCACTTTGTTTCTCTTAAATGCGGTCGTGACTTCAAAACGCTTGAGAACCTGTGCACTTTTGCTGACGAGCTTACAAATTCAGCACAAAATAGATTTTTACCGTCATTGACTTATAACGATATTATGTGACTTAAATAAATAAAAAAACAAAACAAAAAAAAACAAAAAAAAAAAGCAAAGAAAGTTTGTTACCCCGTACCGGATGATTTCTAGAAAAGTTGTTTTTTTCCTTCTAAAAATCGCACGGGATCCCTGGATCTTGTTTCAGAAACCTTAAGTCCTCGGACTGAATGCACATGTCTTATCTTGGGAGTCGCGACAAAGCAAACCTTGGAATTTCAATATTCGATCCGTAATGGCCGTAATTTTAATATTTGATCCTGGGGGTAATTTTAATATTTGGTCCTGGATGGTAATTCTAATATTTGATCCTCGATGGTAAGTTTAATATTGGATCCTTGATTGTAAATTAAATATTTGATCCTCGATGGTAATTTTAATATTTGATCCTTGTTGGTAATTTTAATATTTGATCCTTGATGGTAAGTTTAGTATTTGATCCTTTATGGTAATTTTAA